GACCTTTGTCTGAGGAAGAGCAGGTGAAGATTTTTTCCCACATTGTGGGTTGTCTCTTCACACTGCTGGTGGTTTCTCTTGTTGTGCAGAAGCCTTTTAATAGGAAGAGATCCCACTTGTTGATTGTTTGTGCTAGTTCATGGGCAACTGAGGTTTTGTTCATAAAATCTTAAAAGATGTTTTCTTGCCACATTAAATAACAAACTTCTAACTTTCTAATAGAAAGAAAAACCTGACCATTCAAGAAGCTTTATGGAGTTACTTTAAAAGTAGTTTATTTTCATACATTTTTAAATAACTTGAAGTAAAATAGTGACGGGTATCAACTATGAGCCCCGTTCCCGGATGGCAAAGTCCTTTGCTGCCCTCTTCTGGAACTTAGATACCAAGTCCCCATTCTGGAGGAGACTTCCCAGGGTAGACTAAGAAAATAAAAATAGTAATAATAAGCAAACAAAGAAAAATTACCACTTTAAAGGAGTGCAATGCTAAACAAAATTAGCCTTAATGCACGGTGCTAAATAATTTGTTTCATTTTCAGGAAAGTACAGTTTTGCTCTGGACTTCCCTTGAACATCCAGAAAGAGATGTTCTTTTACAAAGGAATTTCCATTAGGCTTCCTGCAATGCTGGGTTTCAATTCCACAAAAACACACAAATTTCAAATGCACATAATGGTAACATAGGAAATAAAATAGTTTGAACAATCACATGTAGACAAATGGTTATTATCTTCTATCCTGAAACAAGATTTGCTTCAACAACATAATGGAGCTTATATAATGTCTTGTGTGAGACATTTCTAGGTGACAGTAGTACTTTTCCAAACCTGCCTGCATCTCACGGTTACCACACCTCATTCTTCCCTTCCACCGCTAACCTCTGGAAAGCATGCCAGTGTCTCCCACTCCCAACTCTGTCTCCCACTCACTTGTGTACTTAATGTGATCATGCTTCTCCTTCCTTCCCACCCAAGTGAGTGCTAGTAGATATTTCACTCTTGAGGGAAGAGATGAGAAGGCAGTGAATGCCCTGATTTATAGTGATGCAGTATTTGCCAATTTCAAGTAATTCCACCACGGCTGACTTAGTTACCAGCTTGGTGTCAGCGAAAGTTGATGGGGCCTCCTGAGCAGGCATAGGCTCCAGCATACCACCCTCTGATCCCCTACTGAGACTTCTCCTACCTAGCACAGCCTCCTCCTAACAAAGGTAGTTGCTCCCCTATTGACTAATAGGCGGCAGCACCGGCTTCCTTATTGGTGACCCACCCTCCCACCTACTTCTCTGCCTTTCTCTGCTGCCTACCATGCCTGCCCACACAGAGTGATGTTTCCAAGGTGCCTCCTTCTGAATTCACCTTCCTCAGCCTCCTACGCACCCCCAGGTGTCAAAGCCATCTCAAAGTTAGGAAGACTGAACCAGCGAGGTGCTGCCCCTCCTCCCTCTCCTTTGTCAGCACACATACCCTCGCTACATTTCCAATCAATTATTTACACTAATTTTTATATGAATCTCCTGTCACTGCCTGACATCATGACCATGCCACTTCTCTCCTGAGCAAACGCCATCATTGCCTGGGTGACATCTTTCTTACACCTTCCTTCTCCCCCAATCCAATTTGTCTCTTATCTATCAAAATTGCATTATTTAGGACAATCCAGTCATGTCATTTCCTAGTTTTTTTTCCATTTTCCCTAGTTTTTCCCATTTTCACTGTAGACTGAAACATTAAAGGCACAGGCCAAAATTACCCTGCCTTCCTTGCCATGTGTTGCAGACACCAACAGAAATAAGATGTCAGTATGTGAGACCCTTCTACTGTCTAATGTCTCTAAAGCTTCTAATGTCTTCTAACCTCTACAGTTCTTTGCATTGAGTGCTGTCGCTGTTCTCTTAGAGGACAAGAATAAATCACTGCATCTACTGTCATGACATGCTTGCCAGCCTTCCAGCCATCTGTAGCCTGAAAATCCCAGGCAGGGACTATTGTGTTTTACCTCTGAACTCTCCAAGTCTCACCCAGGATACATTATTTACATGAGCACACTAAATGAATGAGTGTGTGAAGGCAAGGCTCACAAACAAGAAGTATTAAAGGGTGTATGTTAAAGGAAATATGAAATCTGGAGAAAACGTCGCATAAGATATAAAGTTTTGTGTGTTGCAGTGTTTTAAGTTTTTAAAAGTGAGTATCTGAACTTTTTTGGAATGTTTTAAAAATAATTTTTAAATTTAAAATGCTATTTTTATTCATGAGTTCACTTAATAATTATATATGCATTGCAAACTAAACATTACATAAAATAATACCATTAGTTCAGATATATGTGTAAAACATTACTCTTAATGTATACTGAAGCTGCTTGAAACCTTACGTAACATTTAAAATTCTGCAGTTTAAAAATAAGAAAATAGTAAAAAACACTGTGCTTTGGGTCCTGGGAGAAATTAAACATTTCAGGTGAACCGTTTTTGTTTACTGTAACTTTGTATGGCAAAACTTTATAACATTTATTATCATCTATTAATTATTGAAGATAATTAAGTTGAAAATATAGTGTGTTGTGTAGAAAACACAGAATCTTTTTTTATTTCCTTAAATCATGTCTAAATGAAAGTCGTATTACCCAAATGGATAAGAAAAAAATAAACAGAGCAGGTAATTTTGCGTGAATGTAAGTATTTCACCATGAGCAAATTAGTCCTTCAAACAGAAGGCAAATGTGCACGTGATCCTCTGGGAGAAAGGTACTAGGAGGCCCGTCTGTTGGATGCTAACTTACAAGGGTCAGAAAAGCTCCAAGTAGCTGGTGAGAATGGGATACTTTTCTTATTCAGAGATTCACTCAAAAATGTCCTAAAATACCACAATTCAGCAAATACACTGAGTTTCCCAAGCAAGAACAAGTTGGATAACATAAAATGAAGTTTTTAAAAAGGGGCATTGCAAATGTTATTAAAAGCACTATTCATTCAAATTTAACATGTTTCACATAGTTTTAACATTTAAAATTTAACAAATTAAATAAACATTTAATTTTACAACATGCTGATTTATTAAATCTACATTTCAATGTGACTCATACATCATTTTGGCAAAGTAAAATATTAACACATTGTGGAGATACAGAAAAATGGCAAGTGTAGGTTTAGTTAATAGTGATTTCATTGACGATCCAAGCACCGATAAACGTTTTTTTAATGAACAGCACGAGGAAGTCACGTTAGGGTAAAACCCCTCGTAAGATGGGGGTTTTCGGTGTCCCGGTTAGCCTTGGCCCGCTCGCCCCCGAGGCGGCTTTGCCCGGCCAGCCGGGCTCCGCGGACCCGCCCCGGGCGAGCCTCGGCGGCGTCCCCAGCCGGTCGCAGCCCCGCTTCCGCGACCCGACCCTCGCTTCGCCCTTTGCACAGGGACCGAAACCCGAGACCGCGGCCGGCGGCACCGGGGCTCGGGAAGGCGTAGGCCCGCAGCTGCGCTGGATGCGGTCTCCCGCCGTCGCCTGCGCGCTGCTCCGTCCCCACCGACGCCCCGGGAGAGCGTCGCCCCGACCCGGCCGGGCGGCTCCCGCGCAGCGCGGACCGGAGGCTCCGCGCAGGGTCCACGGCGCCCAGGGCTCCCCAGGCCCCGAGGCAGGTGGGCGGACCTTGTCGCCCAGGCAACAGCAGAAGCGCACAGTCGCTGGGGTGACGTCATTTCCTCAGCCGAGGCCGTTGCCACGGCGACGCGTTCGCAGAAGGGCAGCGCCTGGTACCCAGCCTGGCGGTGCGGAAGTTCCTTCCTCCCGGGACGCCATTGCCTAGCAACTGCCTCCCACCTCCGCCTTTGGTCCCGCCCCCTGGCCGGGCTGAGTGCTGGTTCCGGAGCGCGGCCGGCGAGGCCTGAGACCCGCCGCGGTTCGGGGTCCGGGGCGCTCGCGGCTGCAGGGCCCGGGTGGGCGCCGAGCCGGGAGCCGCGGGACCGAGGACGACGACGCCCGCCTGGCGGGCCGGCTTCCTGAACCGGGAAGGCGACACCGCACAGCGTCCGGAAGGCTCTTCCCGGCCTGGTTAGCGAGCAGCCGGGAAGCGGAGCGGCGGCCTCAGGAGACCTCGCCGCCCGGCGCGGAGCCGTCCGGGCCCGCGCGGCCGGGGCGGGTGTGGGGCGCCCCGGGCCGGGCCCTGCGGGCGTCTCCGAGCCCTCGGCGCAGCGACCGTCCCTCCGCAGGGCGCGCTTCGGGTTCAGACAGGTGCGGACGTGGACGGCGGGGTTCCAGATTAAGCGGCGTCGTTCTGTCCCTTTAACTAACTGCGGTCATTTATTTGCTCATCCTTACTACAGTCCCAAAACGATTTTCGGATAACGTCAGTTTGCGTTTGCATTTTTTGTCTTTATTTCTTTACAAGAACTGTATTTACATTTTTAAAGTGTTCCGAGACACTTTTGTTTCCCTTTTTCTTTCCGCCCTAGGTGTGCTAATACAAATTTTCAAGCATGCAAAAGAAGTCTGATGATATGTTTTTCGTGTCTTTCAGCCATCATCACAGGTTGAATGAATTATTCCAACTATTTATTAGCTGTTTAATAGAGGTAGAGGGACAAATACACTATGGCTGACGAAGTTTTCGGCACAACTTTGGCATATACGAAGAGTCCAAAAGTTACCAAAAGAACTACTTTCCAGGTAAAATACTTCAAAGAATTTTTGTTTCCAGTGATTCTACAGTGTGAACGCTGTATGAAGAACCTGGGACTTGGTGATTCTAGAGTACTCTTACATTCCTTCTAAGACTATGCAGATGAACCATCATGTTTGGGCTACCAAATAGCCTCAATACAAAGTTCTTACTAAATTAAAAGTTAAAGAGCAACTTAAAGCTGGGGTCTCATGGCACCTGCCTGTAATTCTAGCACTCTGGGAAGCTGAGGCAGGAGGATCACACGTTTGAGTCCAGCCTGGACAATTTAGTAACTTAGCAAGACCCTGTCTCAAAAAAAATAAAACAGCTGGGAGAGAGGGATGTCGTTCCCCCACCATACAGACCCTCGGTTCAATGCCCAATACGCATACACATACCTACACACATAAAAGCAGCTCAAACTTGCTATTTTCATATGAAAACCATTTTCTACTATAACAAAACAACATTTAAGTTTCTTCTATTGATGTAGTGTTTTGAACCCAGCCACTAAATTTATATTACTGATGAAAATAATGCAGTATGCTTAAAAAGTACTAGCTTTGGGCTAGGGACATAGTTCAGTGGGAGACCTTGTACTCAGCACGCAGGGGACCTGGGTTCAATCCCCAGAAGCCCCCTCAAAGTACCAATTTCTTCCAGAGTGAGTTTCTGATAAACCACTTAAATTGTGTCCCCCTTGTTTATTATTTAGCTCTGGTTATAACTTGCACCTGACTGACTTACACTGCTGTCTGCTGCAGTGTAACTGCGAGTCCCTTGAGGAAGGGGGCTGGTGGTGATGCTCTGCATTGCATATAATGCTTCACATGGGTGGGGTAGAGCAGGCTGGGTGATTGTTAGATAAATGAAAGCTTGCAACCACTTCTTAACCAAGTACTTTTTAAAGAGTTGATTCTACATATGAGACCTCCATGTTTGAATGGGAACTGATTTTAGTTATGTCATTTCAGGATGAGCTAATAAGAGTAATTACAGCACGCTCAGCCAGACAGAGGAGTTCAGAATACTCAGATGACTTTGAGAGTGACGTTGGTATGTAGGAATATGGGAAAGTAAACCATTGGTCATGCTTGTAAATGTATTTCTAGTTCTTTCTAGTCTTTAATGTTGTCTTTTTTTTAAATTAATGTGATCTTAAAAAGTTTATAATAAACTATTGAAATATTTTTCCTGTTCATTTTTCAGTATCCTTAGGTGATTTTTCTGATACCTCAGTAGATGAAAATTTAGTTAAGAAAAAAATGAATGATTTTCATATATCAGATGATGAAGAAGAGAATTCTCCACGACCATCTTTTTTGAAAAGAAAGAAATCAAACAGTGACATAACCAGAGATGAGCCAGAAGTTGCTGTCAAGAACAGTGAAGAACAGATTCCAGATGTTTGTGAAGACATGGTTGCAAATTCCTTCTCTGAATCTCACAATAAAGATCAAGAAGTTGAAAATGAGAGAATTAAAATAAAACCGAAACCCAGAATTCTTCCAATCAAAAGCACCTCTTCAGGTAATTTGTTGGATTATATAATAGCAGTTCTTGAAAATATATTTTTAAATATATTTCAAAATACCTTTATATGATAGCAAGTGTGTATTTAAGAACAAAAAAAGAGAGATTTGCCTTTTCAGGCCTGCAGTCTGCTGTCCCTTGTAAATTCTGTCTGGAATCTGCATGGATGCCTGACAGGAAGCAGGCGCCTCTGTCATGTAGCAGCAGCTCGCAGCACACCCAGGCCCAGGGGCGGAAGCTGTACTGTCAGAGATGGAGCTGCAGTGGAAGCCTTTCTAATCCCTCCATCCTGCAGAGATTAAAACAGTCACTTCCAAGGCTCAGGTTGTAGCTCCAGTGCTGCAGTGCTTGTCTGGCATGCTCCTCAGCAACATATACACTCTCAAGAAACTCAACAGTTATTTCCATACCAGCATTTTGCCAGAACGCTTTTCCAGCATTTGTGTATTTGAAGGGAGAGAGTTTTGTCGTTGCTGTTGTTGTTTTTTGACACTTACAGACTCTTTTTAAAAATAGAGTCTTTTATTACACGGGAAAATCTGCTAAAATTTAGTTTTCTCAGGGTAAATTCCTGGTGTGATCTGGGATTACAAGAATCCCCCACACGATGCTACTGAGCTCCAAGAGGTGTGGCCTGGAGAGGGACCAGGCCCCTGCAGTCTCTGAGGAAACCCAGGGCCTTTGCGTGCAGGGCTAGGGGTTTGGTTTCCTGTCTGCTTTCTTTCTGGTTCGTAAAGGAACTATTAGTTGGTGCTAACCTTCATAAAACTCATCTTCCTTTATATTGTCCGTAAATACAGTGCTGGTAAAAATTTCACATTTTGCATGTTAGATATCAGTGAAAATAGAACTACCTTAAGGATGTGTTAAAGAACTGCCTTTTCTCAAACACAGCGTTGTTAAATTTGAAATGAGGGAAGCATAGAAGCACAGCAAAGAACAGCAGAATAATATGTACCACACTGGAAAAACCCCCACTGTACATTGGTTATGTGTGACTGAGCCTCAGTGTCCTCCTGAGGCAGAGATGAAGCCTGCTCTTCCTGTCCTGCAGGGCTGTCTTGAGAATCTATTGAAGTGCATCTCAAAATTGTAAACACTCCAGAGTGCGAGCACAGAGCCTTGCAGCCCAGATTAAGGCGCCAACATGCCCCTCTTGTGTACTGAGTAGAACTGCGGATGGAGAGAGGCCAACACCGAGCTGCCTCATTAAGAAAATGTGAGCATATAGCTGCTAAAAATGAATCTGAAACAGGTGGAATGGTAGATAATTAGCCAAACAGTAATTCACTTATGTACCCAAAAAATCCAAAAAGTTATGGTGAATTAAAATGAATTTAAAAATACTGTATTTTAACCACAAGGTGGCAGCAAGATCATAAACCCTCTACTTGGACATCTAATACATTCAGTGTAGGAAACAAAAATTAGTAGGTAGTCTTATACACTTAAATATAAAACAGAACCTTTAAAATACATACAGACTTCTTTTGTTTTGTTTTTGTTTTTGTACCTGGGATCGAACTCAGGACCTTGTGCTTTCGAGGCAGGTGCGGCTCCACTGAGCTAAATCCCTGGCCTGTATAGACTTTTTTTGAGAATTTGGCAGTACCTCTGGAAGAAGAATTTTGGTATGAAATACAGGAAAGTCATTTATTCCTAAATTCTTCAGGTTGCAGAATAAACATTGAGGCTGATGGTCTTAAGATAAAACTTGGAGGCTGGGGATTTAGCTCAGTGGTACCGCCACCTGCCTCACAAGCGCGAAGATGAGGATGCTGGCTCGTGGGACTCAGCAGCACTCGCCTCTCCTACAGTTTCCCGCATTCTGAGGCATCCCCTTCCCTAGCAGGGCCACTGCTGCTGCGTGATTATGAGGGCCAGTAGTGTGTGCAGGGCCTGGTGTTGCGGTCTCAATCCAGGTTTGTTGCACGGATCTCCTCATTTTATAAAGGCAAAGCTTTGCTTGGTTTTTTATGTTTTTTAAAATGTTTTGAAATCGTGAGGGTTCATAAAGTTGGAGAGATGACTTCAGATAAAACCAATGCATGCTGACTGCTTTCAGGGCAGCAACGTTATTTCGGAAGTGTGACTATGAACTGTGCCTCGCGAGGTCTTGTAGGGAAGGGTCGTGGCTTCTTCCTCTGAGTCCTAGGGCCGAGGACCGAGGGTCACAGTCTCTGGACAGCAGCACAGCGATGCCTTTGAGGGCAGTGGAATCCAGAATCTGTTTTTATTTTGGTAAAAGTCACCTTAAAGCTTTTGTGTGTTTGTTTTTAGCAGAAAATAGCGGTCTTGAAACAGATGAACACTTTAAGCCCTCACCTCGGCCAAGGAGCATGTTAAAAAAGAGTAGCCACGTGGAAGAGAAGGAAAAACTAAAAGACAGAGAAACTGCCCTTGGTGAGGGCCTAGAGTCTGCGCCCTCCTCCCTTCCTGGGCTGAGCGTCAGACCCCTGGAGGCAGAGAAAGATGGATTCGCTGTGAGCCTCGATCATGAGGTGGGCCCTGCTGCTCAATTGCTGGGTTGTGTTCTTGAATTCAGACCTCTGGATCCCAGTGAGTTGTAAGATGTAGCACACTGTAAATACCACTGAGAAAGAAGAAAACACTCCGAGTCAGCTGTTACTGACCAGTGGTTCCAAGCCTCACCCAGTTTTAGCGCAAGTAAAATGTCAAAATTGTTTTGCTCTTCTGAGTCTGTAGCATACTATCTTATATTGTATTTTAGAATTATACACTTTATGGCTAAGGAATATATAGTTAGTGTCACCTTACTCATTTGGTTCTGTTCACTCAGCAAATGTGTATCGAATGTTCTTTGTATCCCTCTGTTTTCCGAGGTGTGCCACAGTGGGGTGAAATATGACCCTCCAGGGTTTCATCAGGCACTTTTGTCTCCTGCCTTTGTGTGTCACCGTAGGAAGCAAACTTCCACCTCACGTTTTAGAGGGGAAAAGTAGGAAAGAACATCTTTCCCCCCATAATATGCTCAGATAGCTCAAGGAACAGAAACTACATGTTACCTGTCCAAGCTTCTTTCTTTTTCTACCTGTCACCTCCAGGGTTGGTGTGTGAAGATTTGCTTCCCAGGAGGTGATACAAAGGACAGAGAGGTGCTCTTCTGTGGTCTGACTGAATGAATGATGCCTTCTAATTCAGACCTGCAGTGTTAGGAAGCACAATAGGCCAGTGATTCAAATCTTGTTCTGTAGTCCAGCTGTACCAGCAAGGCTGACAATTTGATATACGTCTATCTGACTTCTCCATTCTGTTTCTTAATTTGTTCTGAAAACCAAAAGAAACCAAGACAATTATTTTATATTTAAAATTATTATCTGGTCAGTTGAATATTATATTAGTTTCCTGTCACTGCTACAGCCAATTGCCACAAACTCAGAGCCCTAACGCAACAGAAATGGATTCTCTTAGTTCTGGAAACTGGAATTCCTCCATTCCCAGACCTGCAGGGCCATGTTCCCCTGAAAGTCTTCAGAGAGAATCCCCATCGCCTTGGGAGTTGCCACAAATCTTGGCACCCCCGGCCTCTGGTAGTGTCCTCCAATCCATGTGTGCATCACCTTCAGATTAGGAACCATCCTTGTCCATATGTCTTCATCTTAACAAATTACATCTGCAAATACTTTTCTCCAGATAAGGTGTGCCTGAATTTGGGCGGACACTATTGAAACAGGAACAGATACCTAACTTTAAATACTATTTTCTAGCATTTTTATGTTCTACTTTTTAAAAAGTATTCCTAATTTAGAAAAAAAATGACATCATACCATGACAGAGATTGAATAAAAAACAGCTAACCATAGTCCTGCCATCTAATAGTAATGAAGTTTACTATGCAGCTTCCCTTTGAGATGTATTTTTCTATGTGGTTTCATCGTATTTGTCCTGTTAGCTTTCACATTTTTGCTGTGCTTTTTGCCTTACCTCTTAGCAGTAGGTCATGAAGTGCTCTGTGTTGCCAGGGCATCTGGAGACCACATTTTCAGGAATGTATGTACCATAGCCTAGGCCATAGATCTATTATCTTAATGCTGGAACCTTTGATTTTTAACCATCTAAATGTTCTATGTTCTTCATTACACAAGCCTGATGGATTCTACTCTGCATATTTCCCGTCTAGTTTTTGTTCTTTTTCCTGGGTGTAGAAGCTTTGGCTCTTCACTTGACTGTTCCATCTACTTTCAGCCATGCTCTATCTATCCTCTTTGTCTTTGTATAAACTCTCCCCTGACCCTGCACTTCCTTTTACTGCCTTGCTGTCTGTGTTAGTCAGCTTTCTGTCCCTGTAACAAAATACTGGAGATAATCGACTTAGAAAGAGGAAGCTTTGTCTTGGCTCCGTTTCAAAGGTCTCAATTCATGCTTCCTTAGCCCTTTTGCTTCGGGTGGGTGGTGGCCCAGTACATCCCAGAGGATGTGGTAGAGAGGCCTGCTCACCTCATGGTGGCCAGGAAGTGAAGAGAGAGAGCAAAGAGGGAGCAAGCCCGCCGTAGCCCCTTCGAGGGCATGTCCTCAGTGACCTGCCTTCTTCGCACCAGGCCGGGGTCAAGTGAGCACCATGGGCTGGGGCACATTTAAGACCCAAACCATAGCACAGTCCTGTGGCTGTCACAGCCAGCTGTGGAAAAGCTTTCCTCCCTTCTGCATTCTCACCTCTGACCTGGCCTCGCGGAGCTTGGGAGTGGGGAGTGTGTATGACTGATGTGCATAAATTAACCTGACCTAGTGTTCCTAGGATAAATTCTGCTTGATCAAGGCACAATATTGTATGTGGGATTTGATTTGTCAATATTTTGTTAAGACTTCTGGGTATATACTTATGAAGGCTTCATTTATTTCTGTATTTGTATATATATTTTTCCTGAAAATGTTATTATCAGGCATCTCTGTCAGATGAGTTAGGGAATGTGCTTTCTTCTTTATTTTCTAAAGGGTAAATATGACATTAAAGGTTCGTCACAGTTTCCTTATAAGAGAAAAATCATCTGTAAAATTGTCCAGGCTTCAGATTTCTTGGTAGAGAGGTCTTTAGCATTAGACTTAATTTTTTTAATAAATATTTTTTGGTATTCAGATTTTCTTTTCATTAATTTGGCAATTTGTAAGAAATTTGTTTCATCTGAGAAGTCACATTTATTAAACGCTGTTTTTCATGATATTCCCTATCCTTTTGATGACCATAGGAGCATCATGACATTCCATCCTTTATTTCTAATACATATAATTTACTTTTTTTTTTTATTAAATCTTCATAGGTGAATTTACATTTTTTGTCTTTTTTATTAAATCTTGGTAGGTGCTGCTTAGTTTCTTAAACTTTTCAAAAATCTAACTTTGGCTTTGCTAATTTTTCCTGTATTATTTGTTTCCAATGTGACTGATTTCAGTGTTTATTATTTCTTTTTCTTTCTTTGGGTTTAATATGCTTACCTTTAAATTGAAAGTTTTCTCTATGATTGTGAGTCTGAAAGCTGTGTACTTCCTTCTCTGGACTGATATAAGGATCCCAAAGTTTCAGGTGTCTTTAATATTCATTATCATTTTTTTAATTACGTTTTCTGATTTCTCACCTCTTTCCTTTTTTGACCAAATGATTTTTTTTTCAATTGATTATTTTGTGACAGTTAACTTTAATTACAAATATTTGAGTCTTTTCTGGATATACTTTTATTATTGATTGTAATTTAATTTTGTTATAGTATATTAATTTAAATTTTTAAGATTCCGTAGTAGCCCAGCCTACATGGACCTGTGAAAACCCACATGCACAGGCAGAGTGCACTTGTTCTTCAGGTGTTACAGATAATGTTCTCCATTTCTCTTGGCCGTCAGGGTGCTTGGTAGTGTCACACATCTTCCCTCTCCTTACTGATGCTTTGTCTAGTTGATTTACCAATTGCCAATTTAGGGATGTTAAAGCATTCAGTTATGTCTGGAGATTTGTCTGTAATTCCTTTTATGTCAGTCTTTTATAACTTTGTTACTAGGCACATACACATTTATTATCATTATCCCAGGGTCCTTTAGCAGTGAAAAATGTCACTACTTCTGTTAATATTTCTTGCTTTGCAGTTCATTTTGTTTGGTACTTCACCTTGCTTATGACTAGTGTTTGCATAATATATATTTCCCTAACTTTTCTTTCAAACTACTTGTGTCTTCTTTTAAATGAATCCCACAAAATAACAGTTTTGTGCCCCCTTTAATCAAATCTCATAATCCATGCTTTTTAATTCTAGTGTTTAATCCATTTTTGATTCATTGATTGATTTGTACTGGTTGAATCCCAGGGATGCGCTTCTAAACTACTTCCCCAGACAATTTTTTAACTTTTTTATTTTGAGACACAGTCTCAATAACTGTCCTCAAACTCATAACCTTCCTGCCTCAGCCTCCTGAATAGCTGAAATTATAGGTACCTAGCTGAGTTTTCTTTTAGCGTAAATACCTAGACATTTGTTGCTGTTTATCTCCTTTGTTGTACGGTTTCTCTGTTACTCCATTCCTGCCCTTTTTTTAGATTAATCATGTGTTTTTTAGTTTTTCATTTTGATTCCTGTAGTTTTTTTAGCTCTTACTGTATTACATTTTCACTACTTGTTCTGTGAATTACAACATTGCATCTATAAATGATGTCAGTTGGGAGTTAAGATTGTATTATTTCACATTTAGCATAGAAATCTTGCAACAGTTTAGTTGCCTATTCTCCCTCATTCATTGTAATATCATTGTCATATATTTTAGATCTACTTATGATATAACAACGGTATGCTTGCCAACTTCCCCTGCGACCCCCTATAAAAACAGCTTCGGACTCTGAGCCAGTTGCCTCTCTAAGCTTGGTGCTTGGAGAGTGCTGTCTGGCCAGACTAATAAAGGTCTGTTTTACAACTTGTCCGGTGTGTTCCCTCCTGGGTGATCTTCGCTGTAGTCAGCTCCTCGGAGTGTTTGGTAAGGCCTATGGTCTTACATAGCAACTTGAGTACAAGGGGCCCAGGTCTGGTTTTGCCATACTTGGTCTGCTTGGGGAAGTGGAGCTTTCAGGATCTGTGAGCTGATTCCTTCCATGAACACGGGAAGTCTTTGGGTTTTCAATTTGTGATATCCTGTCTTCTTTCCTCTCCTTTTGTGATTCCAATTGTACATACTTTGACATTTTTTATCTATGTCACTGATCACTGCAGTTTTATTCATGTTTCTTTAATCTTTGCTTTTCAAGTTGAATAATTTATATTGCTGTCTTCAAGTTCATTGACTTTTTCTGATTTATGATCTGCTATGAAGTCCATCCAGTGAAATTTTATTTCACTTATTATAGTATTCAACTCTAGAATTTCCACTGTGTTTTTTGTGTTTACTGTGTCTCTGATAGGATCCCCATCTATTTAGCCATCATGCAAATATTTTCCTTATCATACCTGAACATATTTACAGGAACTGCTTTAAAGTCCTCATTCACTGACACCCACATCTGCGTCATCTATGGGTCAGCTCCTGTTGACCGCTCTTTGTTTATGTTGTTGTTTTCCGTGACTGTGAGTCATCTTTTTCTGTTTCTTCACCTCCTTAGTGACATTTGATTGCATACAGGATATTATTAGTGACATGAGGACTCTAGATTCTGTTATGTGCCTCTGAACATGTTTTCTAACAAGCAGGCACATGGTCAGACACAAATTTCCAACTCTTTCTCCTTACTCATGCATATCAACTTGAATCTCTGCTTATTTATTTCTTTCAGTTTCTAGCTTCTCTGGTTTTACAGGATCGTCTCATTAGATTCTTTATTAGTTCTAAACAAACTAGTATTTCTTTGATCCCAGCATTTTAAGTTTATTCCCAATGCAGAGTTTGCTTTAAAATAGAGATGACAGGTAAAGAACTAAATTACCTCTTTTAGGAACTCTGTTCAATAATGAAGACTTCAAAGCTCCAAAGTACAGCATAGTAGCCTCCACTGGCTTTGCACTCTGTATGTCTCACCAGCAGACTAATGCCAGTGCACATTTCACAGTTACAAGGTAGTTTTTGTTTGGTTTGGTTTGATAGCGGGGATCAAACTCAGGACCTTGCACTTTCGAGGCAGGCAGTGGAACCACTGAGCTAAATTCCTAGCCCTAGGTAGTTCTAATAATGCTATTGCTGCATAAATCTTGAGAACTAAACTTAAATGGTAAATTTATTTTTTAAAAACAGGATCCACTGTTTAAAACCCTGTCATCGTCATCCCTTAAAGAAAGCCTTGGACAACGCTTTCTACCAGGATCTGAGGAAAAAACATCCATAAAAGGTGGCTGTATCTAATTACTATATCTTATTTGTGAACGCTGATTACTTAGAACCTCATTTGTGAGAGAAATGATACTTCACACAGTTAAAGAGAAAAGCCTTTGCCTCGGTTTCAATCCTGACTGTTCAGCACTATTTGACTTAAGATGCAGAACTTAATCTGCCGATACCTCAGTTTCCCCACTTTTAAGAGCCCGGCTGAAAGAGGAGTTGTGAAAATGTAGGTAATACAGTCCATTTCAGCCACAGGACTAGCTCCAAGCCCAGGCGGAGTGAGCGTTCGAGGTGAATTGTGATTGCCCGGTGTTTTACAGTAGCGTACACGTGCAGTGTGATGTCTAGGGGCCTGAACCCAGGCTCAGCTGAATGAGCAGAGTAACAAGGCACTCTGACCCATTTATGGATTTTTAAAGTGCAGATAATGAGGATATTCTGCCTCAAGGGCAGTTGTGAGAATTAAAGGAATCATACCTGGGAAGCACTTAGAACAGTGCCATAGTAATCATGTAGTAAATGTGAGTCGTGAATGGTTAATATTTCTTTTCTTCGTGCTGTAACAACAAATGCTAAAATGCATAGTCGTTTCTAGGACTTGGCTGTATGACTGACATTTATTAAGTGCTTAGTATGTAGTATAATTTTTGTCATTTTACAGATGAGAAAAGCTGAAGTGCAGAGATATTGGGAAACATGCCCAAGGCCAGTGACGAAGCCATAGTTTGAATATTTGGCTCCAGAATCTTTGTTCTTTTCACTGAGTAAATTAACAGCGCCCAGCAGCCCAATAGTGAATTGTACCTGATGCCCTCCAAATGTGACTATGTAACTGCAATAGTAAGATGACCTGGACTGCTGACCTCCAAACAGGTTCCAGATCAATGGCCATGACAAAAGTAGCAGCATTAAACTTGAGCGTGAAGATGTGTGTGCGGCGAGGGGTGGATCCCGTAGAAATGAGAGTCGGGAGTGACAGAGAGCACTGACTTCCTTCTGCTGAGCACCCGAAGTATAGTGGGACCCTGACACAGCAGCAACCCTGGATGAGCAGAGCCAAGCCGCCTCCTGCAGGTGCTGGTGCTTGTCCTGCGGGTCACTGCTGGGCTCAGCACCACACCCACCCTCCCTTCCTTGGGCCTAACAAGCAGGCAGCACAGCCCTGAGGCCAGGCGAGACTCAGCCCCAGTGTGCAATTATGTTAACCCTCGGGTCTCGCTGCACCTGTACTGGGCTGCTAGCAGCCGCAGTAATGTGGAAATGTGTGCTTTCTCCTTTTACAAACAGTTTTTCCAACTAAGAACATATATTCCATTGCCCGGAAAATAAGACCTAACTGGAAAAAAACCCTAGCGTGATATTTCAGGGTGCTCCTAATACAAGCACTACCCCGAAAATAACCCCTCAGTGAAGATCATGAGCCAGATGGACATTCAGTATGTCTGCTGCAATGCACAAAAGATATATTGAATTATAAAATAATAGTATACAGTTAAATATAAATAATATTGACATTAATGCTTAAATGATAACATAAACCCTAATCAGGTAAACAGCTGTGGAAACAGATGACCTCGGGACTTGCAGCCGAGGGCCCAGCCAGAGCCTGGAGAGCGCACGATTAATGCATGCACCTGGCAGTGCACGGACATGGCAGTGTGGAGTCTGAATGTTCATAACTCACTGTGTCCTGTGCTACAGCACCCGTACTTAATGCACTTACATGAGATAAAGAAACATTGTCTGAATTTTGATGCCTCCGATTTTTCCTCACTTTTGTGGGGAGCGTCATTCTTAACTGTCATCCTTTTTGTTGCCAGTCTTGTCTTGTAAATCTTCAGTTAACACTTGATTTAATGGTAGATTTAAAGGGACTAAATGTAGATTGTTGTACATGAAAAAACAAGACAGCCCCTGAAAATAAGCCCTGTTGTGTCTTTTAGAGCAAAGGTTAGCATAAGACTCAGCCTTATTTTCAGGGAAATACGGTACGCTTTAGGACCGAACAGATATTGCTATCATAGTTACTTGACTTGTACCTCAACAAGCCCTTTGGTGTGTCTTTCTTTTGGAGTAGTTATTCCGTTTTAATCATTAATTTGTTTTTTCAAATAATTAGTTTTGCCACATGCTTCATTAAATAGCTATTTTTGCTCTCATAGATCTCGTTTTAAAAAACAATTTTACTATCATATTTTTCGTCATATTTTACTTTGCAAGAAAAAAGATTACAGTCTTCACTTAAAGGAAAGTAAATGAACCCATTATCTGGTTTATTAATTCAGAAGGTTTTAGTGCTGCTGTTCTTTCTCAAAATAGATCAGAATGGAGAATTCGCTGAAAACCATAATTCCTTGAAATTAAATGAAAATGCAGAGAATGGGGTTTTGATAGACCGTGTTGCTCCTGAACTGGAGAAACCAACGGAAAGCGAGCTGGCTGCTGCTGACCTTGAAGAAGACAGGAGGAAAGGGGAACCGAGCCCAGAGGAGGACTTAGCGGCTGCTCCCCTGCCGTCCAAATCCCAGAGGGCCTCAGTGCCTGCCAGTGCAGCGGCACCTGCACAGGTATTTCCATAAATTCACACCTCGCGTGCTGCAGCTTAAACCTTGAGTTAGAACTTTAAATGCTTTACTTTCCATATTATGTGTTTCTGCATTACTTGTGGAAATCTCACCTTCCAGCAGTGGTATTACATTGTCAAATAGTTCTTACTCGAGTCAATAGAAAAAGTAGCAGTTTGTAAAACCCAGTGTTACCTGAGACATACGATCAAAATATACTTTAAACCTTTAAGTGGGCTGGGGATCTAGCTCAGTGGTGCCGCCACCTGCCTTGCAAGTGCAAAGTCCAGAGTTCGATCCCCAGTACCAAAAAAATATGTATATAATTTCTCAGAAATGTATGCCTGTAACAATAGGTTTCTATAGGTCTTCAGATTATAAATACACAGCTATCTGGACTACTTTCTTAGGTTCTGAGTTAGTGAATTTTAATGTAATTTGAACGAAAATCTTAATGTAGTTTGAATGAAAATCTTTAAGAAATAACTGTCAGCATCCATAAATAGATGGACAAGGTCATTCTTAGGAACATAATTGTAATCTTGAGAAACAGATTTCTCTTATGTAGGACTACTTGTCCAGCGTTAGATTGTGCTGGAGTACTGTGCTTTTAAAATTGAGGCTACAGCATGTTTAGTCCTTGTTTCTCTTGAATGTAGTGTTTGTCTCTTACAGCTGCGGGTAGCTGGTAGCTTTGTTTATTTATGGGTAGGAGAAGTAAACAGTGGCGGCTGAGATACTGATGGTTGAACAGAACTTTCATAGTGCAAACTATGGTTTTGCTTTATTGAAATTGATGGGGAAGGTTCATTAAGCATGCTCCAGCTACAGTGCCCTTGGCCCTCCCTGGGAACAGCCCTGCGCCAGCGTATGGATGCATGACACCTGCACTGCCCCGCGCCAGTCCTGCCCACCTGCTGCTCTGTATGACCGGAGAGTTAGGCCTCATCTGTTGGTTTCTCATCGTTAGAAGAAAATCCAGTCTCCACCGCCTCAGGCTCTCACCTGGGCTTCTCCAACCACGCGCTCCCCCACACCCCGCTCCATTCACCGCACTTCAGCACCGCTGACCCTGTGCTGCTTGCTTCAGACATGCCCATCTCCCAGGCCGCTCGAGTGGGCCCTTCTCACCATCCACCCCCCACCCTGGTCCTGGGTCGGCTGCAGCGAAGCAGCCCTGGGCCTGCTGCAGGGACTCGTCACTCTGACCCTGTCCCCCATGCTTCTCCTTCTTGAGTCATGTTTATGTGGTCGTCAGTGACCCCTCTGAAATTTGGTGTCCTTGATGGAATCTCAGTTACTGATTTGTCCCCAGGGCCTTGACACATACTAGACAGCTAAAAACTCTGACTTCCTGACAGTTAGGCTGGTCATTAATGCTGAATAATCTCTCTCTGGAATTTTCTGTTTACTAGAGAACAATCGAAGATAGAAACATGAAGAGTAAAAAGTCAACAACTGATAATAGAGCATCCAGTGCATCTGCCAGGTAAAGTCATCAATGTAGCTCGCTTAGGCTTTGCCTTCTTAGCAGAACTCATTTAAATTTAAATTCCATAAAACAAATTGCATTTGATATTACTCAATTTGCTCTTCATCTCCATCTTAGGAAATGAGTTGCATATTTCATGTTAAAACCCCTAACACGTGAAAAATTGTCCGTAGTGTCTTCAGGCCCTGCAGACTAAGTGGACTTTTAACACGATAAAAATCAAATAGAGCAGGACCAGCCGGCTTGTGTAAATGAGCGGTCAGTGCGTGCATATTTCACGCTTTCTAGCCAGTTTTGTCCCTCTCATGTCTGCTTAGTTCTGCAGCTGTCGCAGGAAAGCGGTAGAGCCAGTATGCAAATGAATAGATGTCACTGTGGCCCGTAAATTGCATTCACCAAAACAAAGAGTAGACTGGTTTTCCCCATCAACCTCAGAAACACAGGGGACTGTTCTTTCTAACTTTCTATTTAGATGGTTCCTGTAACAAAATGATACAAGAAAACCAGTAAATAAAGCCCACTTGATTAATCTTGCTTTCTTTATGTAATTAGCGATGTGGTCTGTACTCTTTTAAAAGGCTCTAATGAAAAACACCTAAAATTAGCAATCACTTTAAAGGTATAAACTTAAAGTTATACAGTTTGCATTACAATAAGTAGGACTTTTATGTAGCAAGAAAGACTACTTCTTACCTACATCGCATTCAGAGTAATTATAATTTATTAAAAGAAGTTACAGTGTAGTTCTCAAGGATGATAGTTGCATATTCTGACAAGTTAAAATACTGTATCTTGATTTACTTGGCACTCTTCAGATTAATGACTTCTGAGTTTGTGAGGAAATCCAGTTCTGCAGGGCGAGCTCCGTGGTCCTCCACCTCTTCCCACTACTTAGGGACTTTGAAAGTCTTGGACCAGAAGCCTTCACCGAAACCAAACCTGGAGCCCGACACAGCAGATCACATCAGGGCAGCTGTTTACCAGGTAAAAAGGAGAACATTTTAATAAGAACAGTGACTACTAGCTTAAGGCTACCTCTTAAAGAACAAGGTGACTATCAGAAGTGATGATTTAATCCTTAATAGTTTTGGGAAAGATTTTCCCTTATAGTGAATGAACAACGCAGAGCTATTTTACTAAATCTTTTGCTTCCACACTCTAACTGATCACAGTTGTTTTTAAGGAAAGAAAAAAATACCATTACAGTTTATAGAAATACAGCAAAGACCAAAACATTATACACCTGTGTACATTTTATCCTCTTTGTCCTTAAAGTTTGTGTTACTTGGGGGCAAAAAGGGTTTTTGAAAGTTTTCTTTCCTGTGATCCTGTTAAGACTTAGACAGAAAAAGGCTTTCCTAATTTTTTCATAGTCTCAGTAGAAGTCTTCTTTGTCTTGTTTGTTATACAAAATAATACATTGTAGAAAAATGCACTTGTGCACTTCAGAGAAAAATGTTAGTGAGTTTAGCCTTGACATTCGATCTTTGAAGTTTACATTCTTCTACTAGGGAGGATCATACACAGATGATCATAGACATATGATTTTCTTAAGTAGTATGTATCTAGATTTATTAGATGATTGTTAGAAAAAGAAAAATGATACTAGTTTGTGTAAAATTTATAAATTTTATGTTTTCCTTCTGAAAGTTTTAACTACTTCAGAAATGAGAATTCTAATTCATTTGGGCAGTTTTGAATATCATGTAACCTTTTTCCTATTCTCACAGGAGTGGTTAGAAAAGAAAAATGTACATTTGCATAAAAAGAACAGAATAAAAAGGATAGAAAGTGAAAACTTAAGGATCCAAAATGAACAGGTACGGTGAAATAAGGACGTGAATTTCTGGATATTTAACCTTTTTAAATCAGTTGTTTATCAAATGGTGAACTACCTTGTATATAAAAGACTTAATTTTTAAAACTATAATAGTTTATGTATTGTATATTTTGAATTTGACCGAAATATAACTGTTTTTCATGTGAGCAGAGACACAAAAGGTTTTGTTTTATTTTTCATGTGTAGAGCTGATAGGGCTGACCAATTATGAAGTTATTATTGCTTGTGACCACCTAACTCACTCCTGTAACTTGACTTCAGGTAGAACCTGGCCTGGAATATAAAGGGCCATTGGACATTTGCCTTCAGTTTTCCTCCTTTCCCCTGTGAGCTGTCGATGTGTCTTCGGGGCGGACCACACTGAGCCCTTGACCTGCCTCCCCGTCCTATCTGTCTCCCTTTCCTTCTCTCTCAACCGGCTCGGGTCTTTGCTGTCTTCTAAAGCAAAAGCTTATTGTGCCGTTCCACATGAAAATAGCTTTAGAGGGAAGTGTCACAAAGTTGCCAGCACTGTAACGCGTCCGTCCTGTGTGGAGCCGCTGTCCCAGCCTTCAGTTGGCCTGGTTACGCTGCGGTGGACCCCCGTGCCCAGCGCTGCTTACCTCCACATGGACCTGCTCTGTGCTGGGGGTGGACGGGGCTTTTCCTTCTGAATACTGAGCCCTCTGTGATTCAGTGGAGCCCTCTCTAATGTTAAGCGATTATTTGTAGCAAATATTAGATATCGTAAGATTAGATTGAAGTGAAGTAAAATATCGTACTTGCTGTGGGGTCAGCTACATATTTTCTAGTCTAGAACAGATTTTCGACCTTTGGTATTTATTTGTGAAGTAAGAACTTGATGCCTCAACATTATTCAAAAGTGAGGTTCAAACCAAAGATTACTGTATGACTTGACGAATTCACCAGTAACTTACTTTGTAATCTTAATAACTTTTTAAATTTTTTCTGAACATTTTACAGTACCACTCAAGCTACTGTAGTTTATTTGATAACATTTTTAGTGGAACTTTGAAAATAATTGCATTATTCTCATGAATAATTGGCCAATATCTGATAGTCCCTTTTAGAAAAGGTTGCTTAAAATGCAGTGGATAATGTGGATAACATTTTTTAATAAATTAACTCATTCAAACCAACCTAAGTAAATTTTCTACTTTAAAACTTAAGTTCTATATATAATGAATATCAAGGGATTAACAGTAAATATCTTTGATATCCATATCTGCTTTTCTGCCTGCTTACACGTGCACATTTATCTCCCTATTATTTTTTCCAAAATAGAAAAAAGCTGCTAAGAGAGAAGAAGCGATAGCATCATTTGAGGCCTGGAAAGCTATGAAAGAAAAGGAAGCAAAGAGACTAGCTGCACAAAAGAGGCTGGAAGAAAAAAACAAGAGAAAAGCTGAAGAAGAAGAGGAGGCGGCGAGGAAAGAAGAAGCCCTGCAAGTAAGCGGGGTCCTGCGCAGCCCCCGTCATGTGTGAGCAGTGAGACCCAGCGAGGGCCCACGGCGCCTTTCCTCACTTTAGAATCCTCACGGTGGGTAACAATCATTCTTCTGAACTCTTCCAGGCATTTGAGAAATGGAAAGAGAAAAAGATGGAATATCTTAAAGAGAAAAATAAAAAGGAGAAAGAATATGAAAGAGCAAAGAAACATAAAGAAGAGGAAACTGTTGCTGAGAAAAAGAAAGAGAACTTAACTGCTGTTGAAAAATGGTAATCCAGATTAACACACATCTTGATAGATTTGAAATTAACAACGCATCAGTTTTTTCTAAAATTTAGCGGCGATTTACTGAGGCCTCTCAATTTTATTACTGCCAAAGCTATGTTAGGAAAGCTTTACTACATCGTCTCCTTTAACTTTCAAATGTTTTATACTATTCTACATAGGAATGAAAAAAAGGAAGCTTTATTTAAGCAAAAGGGAAAAGAGAAAATAAATGAGAGAAGAATGGAAGAACTGAAAAGGGCTGAGAAAAATGATAAAGATAAACAGGCCATCGATCAATATGACAAATGGCTGGTATGTATTATTCTTAATGCTCTTGTGTTTTATAATCAACTTTTTTGTGACTTTTCTGCCCCTAATTCAATTCTGTTTGCCCCATACTTACTGTTTCTCCCAGAAGCTGCCTGTTAAATTCGTTCCCTCCCTTTGCATGTTTTGTATTTCTTTGATTTATTTACTCTGTTAGTGCGTCTGTTCCCTCCGACACCCAACGTGGAGCTTTAGTTATAGTACTCCTCTTCCTTGCCTTTATTCCCACCCTTGAATCCTGTCCCCTTGCCCCCGTTACTCCTTTTCTTGTGTCTGGCTTCTCAGGAAGCAGGCAAGCGTACTAATGAGTATACCGGCTTATTTTAGGTGAACTTGACATGACACACAGGAACATTGAATTTAATGGTGAGAAACTTAATCCACTTTTAAATTTGTTTTATATTTCTCATGACCTCAAGATAAAGGACTTATAGGTGTTTCTTAATGAAAGAGCAAGTTTGAGGTTTGAATGTAAAAATATCCCAATGGACTTTACCATATGCAAAGATGTGATTGAACAATAGAGTACTTGTTAAAATTTTTAAAAAATAAATTACAGCAAAAGAAAAATTGCTATTAATCCCCATCAAAAATACACCACCACCACCACCATGAACATACTTTGCCCATCACTCTTGCCGCCTTCTAAAGCAGTTCTAGCAGTCTTGTTCCCTGAGGGTCTTCGGGTGTGCCTCTTGTCCTGAAGTGACCCTAAATGTTTACCGTGCATGATATTTTGACTCTGAGAAGAAGCCAGCAGTTTCACACTGCCAGATTTGTAATGCTTTTCTAGGCCTGCCTTTTCATTGGATGGCACTACACAGCTGAATTTACTGTGTTCTTGATCATCTCTCATAAAAACAACCACAAAAAGAGCACCTTGAGAAGTGCTACAGAAAGAAAGTGGATAAGAGTGTTTGAAGCAAGGCAGAGTATTTTGAAGATTAATGGCAATGTATCTTTTACTGCAATACATTTTTAAGCATTCACTGTGTACTTCTAACACACCTTGTATACATACATTTGGTTTCAATATATGTATATTTACAGAAGTTACTTTCTGGTGATGTCAACTAAATATAGTTTTTTATTTTAAAATATCATTACATATTTGTTAATTTTTCAATGACTAATACTTTACACAAGTACATAGATAACACATTCATATGAGTAGTTAGCACATTCACCTGATTCAGCAGTCAAAACTTAAAATTCCTCCTCAGTCTATCCACTTGTTTCTTAGACTCTTTTTGATTTCATGCCTACTTTCTAGTTTAAAAGTATCATCCAGGATAGTTTTGATTTCTGTTTCTCCAGTTAGTATTGAATTTGATTAGTTTTCCTTTGTAAAACACTTTCTATCATTTTTTCTATAAACTGTCAGTTCATTAGCTCTACATCTTCCTATTGAGTCACTCATCTTTTTCTTGTTGATTTCTACAAGCTTGTCTTGTACTAGGAAAATTAGCTTATCATTTCTCATGTAAGGTACAAATACATTTTTCCCATGCTATTGTTGGCTTCCCAACTTTGCATATAAATGAAGAATTTAATTTTATTTTTGAGTGTTTTCACTTGGCTTCTTATTGTCAGTTATACTGAAAAGTTCTCTATAATTTGAGATTAATCAGATTTCTCTCATTTTTCTTTATTGACTTTAATATTTTAATGTCTTAAGATTTGCTGTACTTAGAATTTATCCTAATGCATGGTGGGAAATATTCTAATATTATTTTCTAAATCTGTCTTTTATAAAAGAGCCCATGTTTTACTCATTGGCTTGAAGTGTTATCTTTATAAGTGATACATGCCATATTTGGGGGTGTGTTTCTTGTCTGTGTGTTCTGTTGGTTGCTTTCATACTCCTCTACTGGACTGTTTCATTGTTAGGCTTCTATGTCTACATATCTGCATGGGTTAATCTCCCATCAGAGTTCTTCTTTCACGGTATTTCTGACTGTTCTTGTTTGTGTTTTCACATAAACTTAGAATCAGCAGTTGCTAGAGGGTACATGAAACCAAAATGAGCTATTTAAACAGGAGATAAAAGCTAAAGCACTTAGGCATGGTCTTGAGAGATGTGCAAGATCAAAATGAAGAAGATTTTAGAACTATCCTGAAGGACTCAAGATAATAGAACAAAACTCTTAAAACGCTTAACATCATAATCATTTTAGAAAGGTATCACTCTTCCTGAAGTAACTTACGCAATCCTAATTTTAAAAAAAACAAGGATTTATTGTTATGGGTTGACTTTGTTATAAGTAGTTTTATGCAGCGAAGTAGTATAAAAATAAGGTGACCAAAATTGTTAACTATTTGAATGAAAAAGGTAGTGTTCCATCATAATTTGTTTACCTTATAGTCTTAATGCTTCATTCTAAAAAAGATAAAAGTCTTCTTAGGTTAAGAAGATGTATACCAATTGCTAGTATCATTTAGGCTGCAAATGGAATAGACTGGAATACAAATGGAATAGAATTTTGTTAATGACTACATCACAGTTAGGTCGTACTATTTTTATCTGTAGTACTTAGTTACTTTCTCATTCTCATTAGTCCTCTGGAGAGCAAAACCTCATCAGAGACTAAAGACAAAATAACATGTTTGATATGTAGTAAAACTTCTATAATAATGCTACCAGTAAAAACTTAAATGTCCAACTTATTAGAGATCTGCTTTCTATCTAAGTTGAAATATTTTTTCAGACAGAATAGGAAAAGTCCTTTCTGTGATAATCTAATGACTTCAGAATTTTATACAATTAATCATATCAAAATTTTTATATACAACCACCACTGTGCAGCATGCATCCCACTGTATAGCATCCCAAGGGAAAGTTACAGCCAAAGAGCAGGTCAGGCTCCCTTCCTCATGCCATTCCCAGTTTAATTCAGCTTTTTGAGAGAAAATGAGCAGAAGGTGCAGTGGCACACACCCGAAGCCCAGCCACTCGTGGGTGGATCGCAGGACCCCAGGAGTTTGAGGCCAGCCTGGGTGACAGCCAGACCCTGCCTTAAAAAGTAAATAAGTCAAGCCATTCAGTCTCCTACAAATGAAAATCAGAAAGACTTCTCAACAGATTCTTTTAACTATTGTTAACATATTCTTACTGATTTCTGTTAGCTATATTAAGGTCAGCAATTGCTTATTTCCAGAGGAAGCTCTTCCACATCCTACTGCTGAGATCAAACTTAGATGAAACCTAGGTCAACTTGAGTAATTGTATGGGATGCACATCTTGCATCACCACCTCCTTAGAACATCTTCAGTCCATACACGTACTGAGGAAAGATGCCCAGATGCCCAGAACTTAGCACAGTGCATCTCCTCCCTGCCACAGGCCTTCAGGGTTGGCTAAGGGTCTGCTGCTGCTGCTCTTGGAGGAAGGTGAGGAAATTGTCAATAGGATGAAACCGTCAACACACTTCATAGTGCGAGCTGACGCTGAAAGAAATGGAGACAATCCAGGTTGAGCATAGAAACCCAAGGGCCATGCCAGTAGGACACCCAGTCTACCTAGATAAATGTTTGGATTTCATAGGAGTCCCAGGTACTCAGTCATGTCTTTGAGGGGAGGATATGCAGGAAAATGAAATGCTTCTGGGGCTGGGGATTTAGCTCAGTGATTTCGCTGCCTGCTGCACAAGCGCAGGACATGAGTTCGATCCCCAGTACCAAAAAAAAAAAAAAATGCTTCTGAAAGTCTGCTATAATAAAAATGTAAAAATACAAACGATATTTTAAAAATAACATGAAACAGGATTGTTCCTTTCAAGCAATAAAATTCAAATTTAACATTCCACTCCTCTGTGAAGAAGCATTTTTTCTACTCTTGAATATTCCTGACATGTTGCACAACATATCTTAAATAAAAATACACTGTCTTAACTCGACATTCCGGCCAGCTGTGGTCCTACATTTTCTGCTGCTCTTTCTACCAACTGCCAGACAGTTCTGTGAACGCTTCATAATCCCGCACAGCCTTTCAGCCACAGCCCCTCCAGGCTTGCCCTGTCCTCCTCGCCCCTCCCCAAGTACCAGCGGGTTCTGTCTCCCGTCTTGGCCGCCTGCTCCCCTCGATTTCTGCCTCCCTGTCTCCTCTCTCCGGTCGCACTCTTTCAGCTGAATTCTAGCAACTAACATGGCCTCCAAAGGCTCGTGTGCTGCTGTTCATCTCCCTTTTTACCTCATCTGGTGCCCCCACCCTTCTGCCCCCACGCTCTGTGTTCTGTCAGGCTGGCGCTTTGTTTCCTCACCTCCTGAGCTTTGCCCGCTGGCAGAGCCCGCACACCTGCGGTTCCTTCTGCCTGAAACATTCAGCCAGTGCCTTCGCAAAGGGGCCCTCCCATGCTGCATGCCGCACTGTCAGGTGCCTTTCCCTGAATCCGCTTTTCTTGGAAAGTAAGTACTCTCTTTTATTCTTTGTCACAACAGTTTTTTTAATGGTCTGTAGAAATTCATTCCATTTGGAGTTTTCTGTCTGGTCTTGTTATGTGTCAGTTTGAAAGTTCTCTGGGGGACAGTGACAGTCTGTGTCTGGATTTTATGGTCACGTTCTTCATGGACCACATAGGCTCAGTGCTTAACAATTAACAGATACATAGAAGAAATAAGGTGGTAGAGTGCCAGTGGGATAATAGGCCAGAAAGACACCTCGAGACCTGTCAGTGTGAGGATTGAGATACGGTAAGGTGACCCAGGTCAGCGGAGGCATGCAGCTCAGCTACTGGGGTTGTTTAGGTGACATTTGGACATAGAATCACTTCAGAGCATTGCCTGACAGCAAAATAACACCGAAAGCATTAATATGGTGAACACAAAATGCTAAACAGTAGAAGAATCAAAAGAAAACAGAATTCAATATTTATCAGATCTCTTGGGAATAGGAAGAAATCATTAAGAAGTGAACGAGACAGGTACCAAGTTTAGTCTTGCTGCACACCAGAATGAAATGAGAGCAGGCACTCAGTGGAGGGTGAGTCCCTACACTGCTTCAGAAGCACCCTTGGCGAACCCAGCAAAGTCGAATTTGCGTATCTTACAAAGCAGCAATTTTGCTCTTGTGCATGTTTAGAGGAAACACTAATTCATACCCAAGGAGGCAAATGAGGATGTTCATAGCAGCACTATTTGAGTGGAAAAAGGAGGAACTGCGTGCCAGCCCTCAGCAAAGCCTAGCTGAATCAAGGCCAACGTGCATGGACTGGGATTCTCCCCTGGAGGGGAGAGCTGCGCTCCGCAGACAGGTCTCACAAACAGGAACGAGACAGAGCGTGTCACAGACAGCACAGCGCCTTTCGGGGGGCTTCTGAAAGCCCTCAAAATCAGACTGCCCTTGTGGGGATATGAATGTGTGTAATAACAGTCGTCCAGGATGCATTGCAGGGCTGATGAGGCTCAAGGTCAGAGTGGAGGCGAAGAGGGCGGAAGACGTGGCAGGAGTGGACGCCAGTGTGGAACACGGGCTGCTTGGGCGGTATTCTTTACAGCACCTAGCTCATGTTGTAATTCTGTTGGTCTTTAAACAGTTTCCTATGGTTGAACCATTTCTAAGAACATATTTTACAAAAGCTAAGAACTAAAAAGAGCAAAATATTTGAAGTAAAGGTATTATTTATTTGAAAATACAAAAATTGCTAAAAGTTAAAAGCACTGATTTTGGTTAAACAGGCCAAATAATTCAATGGAAAGTGTACAAAAGGATTCAAGAAATGTTGGAAAATTTCCTGAAGCTCAATAATAAGCAAAGAAATGCTGAGCTGAATTCTCAACTATTTGTGAACCATTTGGAGTGTCCTGTTGCCATGGAAGACTCCAAGTTCACTTAGTAACTTCTTAGAAGCTGTTCTCAGAGAGTCATCTTCCAGTAATTGTCATCTTTGTGTTGTGTGGCTTTTTGACCTATTTTAATTTTTAATATTTAAAAAATGAGGTGACCTTTGTAACAATTGATAGTATACATATAACTTAGCAACATCCCTTGGCTGTATTTCTTTATAAACAACTAAAGTAGGAAATGATATATAAATATCTTATAATGGACTGTTTTGTCCTCAGCAAGTAGCCTGATTTGAAAATGATGTTCACATGTTGTATGTACACTCATAGCTTTCTATTTTTTCTTTAGGAAAAGAAAGAAAGACAGGAGAGAATCCAACGAAAACAAAAGAAACGGCATTCCTTTCTGGAAAGTGAGGACCTTCCTCCTTGGAGCCCTCCAAGCAGAACTGTGGTTTCAAAAGTATTTTGATAGCTTTAGTCCTTAAATTATTTATCAGTTAACCAATTTTAGCCATGGGTTTAAAAGCCATTCATTCAATCCTTTATAATTATAAGAATCTATTTTAACTAAATACTAGGTATTTCTGCTGACAAGGGAAAAGATATTTTGGAGTTTGGTCGGTGAAAGCATTTTTTCTATTAGACAAACTGCCTCAATGAAAAGCTAATAATCAGATTGCTCCCACCATTAAAATGAATAAAGGTTTGCCATGCCCGGGTGACATTCAAAGTGATCACTTTCACTAAACTCTGCATATTATTTAAGCATGCTTACTCCCAATAATAAAAGGGACCTCATCTAGGTATGATAATCATAGAAATAATTCAGTTTATGGGTGTCTGGATTTGGGGTTTAAATGAGTGGTCACTGGTCAGGATGTCCCACATACTCTCTTCTAAAACTAATCTAGTTCAAAGAAGTTGAATTTGCACTGTGCAAGTTAAAAACATGGACACTGAGCCAATAGTTCAGTAGAACTATGATCTGCAAGGCATTTTACTTAAGAATTTTGCCTTATGTTTTATTATGAGTACACTTTATCTGCTCAAGGCTTAAATGACAATCACAGTCACTTTATAATTACCTCATCTCTGAAATTTTCTTTGTAAATTCATCCCACTTTGTTTACTATTTCAGTGATAACAAAAGACATCAATTTCGTGGCAGTGATATACTTACACATACACATTAGTTGTGGAAATTCCACAGCTCAAGGTCATGATTATTATCTCATTTTCTATACTAAAGCCATAAGGGTGATGAAAGCATTGTTCTTCTTAACTGATCCAGAGTTTTATAGCTTCTGTTTAGAAGTCAGAGGAATGGGAAAGTAAATTTGTAGAAAATATCTGAAGAACCTTTTTTTATTTACTGATATCTCTACATCCTTGTATTAACTGGACTCATACTTGACCAGTTCATCTATTTTAAGACAACCAATTGCTCTCGGAGTTGAAATGCTGCTTTAGTTAATCAAGCAATATGGAGACAGTGGATGAAGAGAAACAATGACTATTTATGGACCACTTTACAAATTATAACTATTCAGGGTAGGTGTTGTTAGCCTCACTTTGCATATAGAAACGCCAAGTCCAGAAAAACCAGATAACCTGCCATACAAGTAATGTGTGACTGAGTCCAAACCAGTTCTCACTGACTGAGTGAGCGAGTGCCTCTTTCTAGAACCTGTCAGGCCCGCTGCAAACACATTTTATCTCTCAGCGTCTAAAACCCTGTATTGCTATCCAGAGATATCTGTCCCAGAAGAAATAACTGCTAGTCATTAGAGGCAGAGGGCCTCACTAAATCTGTGACCCGAAATGAGAATTCATGAGATTTGAGAAGTTGAACATCTTCCCTCTAGTATTAGGATGACAGAAAACTCAGCAACTGATGCCATGTAGGCTTCGAGATTTCAAAATTTGAGGACACACTGAGCATTAACCTTTTGCTGCAGTGTGTTGCAAGATAAGGTGTCCTGGATTGCTTTGTAAGAATATACCATGGAAATAAGTATTTCGTAGATAAAACTAGAAGCCTTTTTATGCTGCCAGCACTAGGAGAATACCTCCTGCAGTTGCAGTGATTACCAGCAATAGGTATTATCAGCATGGGAGTCAGGAGCTGTCTCATTCTTCCATGTGTCCCCCATAGTCCCAACACAGGGCCTCCCAGCAGAGCTTGTGAAGTGTTTCTTTTATTGAATTAGGTATTCAGAGCTAAAAATATATTTGCAGATTCCAAAGAAGTAAAAGGAGAAACAGGAAAAGACGCAGTGCTTTGGGGGAAGAGGGACCATAAATGTGTAGCATAGATTTCACATTATTTACCAAAACTTCCTGATCATTGTCTTCTCCATTCTTGTACTGAGTGGCTTACTATTATTACTTATTAAATTGTGAGAATTGCACAGGATTAATTAATATAAGAAGTACTGTGACACAGCCTAATAAGGACACAATATTCATTGTTGTTGTCATTGACTGCCTGGAGCCCTACGTTTCCCACTTGGTGACCGTGAGATGATTGGCTTGGACAAGGCTGGCGGCGGTCACTTGGCCTTGTGGTTATTTGGCATTGCTGCCCAGTGTAGGTTGCACCAATTGAAAGAGAACAGAGTGCTGCCTTGTAGGGAGCCCCTCAAAAAAAAAACCTACTAATTCCTGAGGGTTGCTTCTGAGGTAGGATGAAATAGAAATTAAGATGTTTACAAAGACAGCAAGTAATCTTCCACAAATGTGGGTGGGCTTTTTGTCTGTCATAATAATGTGCCACTTCCTATTTACAGCAGCTTGCGCTCAACTTGTGCTGAAATTATGTGGTTGAATGAAATCCCATCTTTTGTAGCAAGAATAAAGCTGAGTAAGGAGGTGGGTAAAAGCCCAGCACTGTACTGTTTTTTACCTTCCAAAATTCCAAATCTGAAATCCAAAGGGGAGAATCAAGCCTGGTAATATTCTTGTGAATGTATTTATCCATTTAAGGACAATGGTTTTCCCATATTTCCTTAGATGGTGTAAAATATCACTGTAAATATCTGCTCAAGTATTCATTAATTTATAATATGAGATGATGTTTAATTCAAATAAATAAGAGTATAATCCCATTATTGCCCAGTTTTGTAAATTATACTGAGCACTTGAATGCTGAGATTAGAAAGAAAATATGAATTTTACAAATATTTTAAAAGTTACTGAAAATTTCCTTTGAAGCATACTTGTGGGTAAATTTAAATATTAATATGAAATGTAATTGAGGACCTCTCACATCATCATGATGCCCCCTTAGTACCAAACATAAAGCCTACCAGGCTAGATTTTTAAGTATTTCTTGTATTGAATTAGGTGTCTAGAGCTAAAAAGATATTTTATCTATACATAGAAATCTTTACATGAAATTATAGTTATAACCAAGAAAATGGTAATGTTACATAAATAAAAAGAACCAATATAGCACTTTAGATCAGAAAGAAGTTAAGCTTTTCTTAAAGGAAATAACAGCTGTTCAAGAAATAATATTCCAGAGGTTTGTATTTACATCACACTTTGAAAATGTTTGTTTTTGGTTTAAACATTACCAAAACTAATATTACTGTCATCAAAGCAGTATGTGACAGTAGTTAGGTATCCAAAGGTACATATTCCTTAGTGTGATCTAACTACATATCTGAATGGGATTTTGATGCTTTAATAAATCTGGTCCAAACTCTTTTTCTAAATTGAATAAACCAATTTTGACTGCTCACACACCTACTGTCATAATTCAGAATTCCCAGTTGTACTCTTCAGATTCCAATTTGATAAAACTGATGTGTAAAATAATACTAACCTGGTAAAGTTCCACAGTAGCTTTTGCTCACTGTGGTCATTGTTAATTCAATGGGTAGTTGTTCTCAGCTCTCCTCTTTTCCCTCCATTGTTCTCTACCAGTCAAAGCTGTGTAGACACTGACACTACTATTTAAAATGTAGTAAATAATGAAATCTCTTAAATCCTGAGTCATGGGCTGAGAAACAGTAGAGAAGAGGATGTTCACAAAATGGAAGAAAGCATGTTAGCCAAAATCATTCCCCAAAATAAACTATCATATTTCCCTAATTGAATCTTGGTTCAGATTTTAATAGTGCTATATTGAAAAGTATTTAAACCCATATCCTTCCATTCCACACAAAACAAATATATTACCAACTTTCCAAATTACACTGGCTCATGGGATAATAAAATGTATAAATGCTAAATTCAAGGATTCTGAGTTGTTTTACTTTAAAATGTCATGTGACCATGTTATTTTGGAAATATATGCTACATGTACTTGTATAATATTAATTTAGGTAGAAAAGTTTCTTGATGTTGAATTTATGATGTTTTAGAAGTTAATGAGGAAGATGTATTTAATGTCTACTTTTAGATAACATGTTTTCATGTAGTAATTTATTAAAGTCAGCTATTCAAGATTTATTTTACTGAGTGATACTGTTTGTGGACTGTGTGCCAAAATTTCATTTCATAGTGTTAAAAAATGTGTAGGGGCGAGGACCTCAGCCAAGTGGAGCTTGGACTGCCACCCCGCCCCGCCCCCACCCCACCTCCAACCAACGAGAAGAGCCACACAAGCACCTGCAGCACCACCCCAGCCCAGCACCCCTCCCCCCCCGCCTCTGGCCTCCTGGCTGTGTAGGTACCTGGTCACACACTGCACACACTGCAGAGGCATAGGGGGTCATAAAGGGCATTCATTAGCTGCAGAAGATAGAGCAGACATGAACAACAGAAAGAGGGCCTCAGGCTCCTTGATGAAAATTGAAACCCACTGGAAAAGGGAAGAGAATCTCTGCAATAAAGACACACCAGACCACTGTACTTGCCTCAGTGTTATTAGAGACTCAAAACTTAAAGACTAGCTATATCTGGAAGACACCTCTGAGAAGGAATCATTCCATAAGGGTTCTAAATAAAAGCAACAAAAATACTTACAATAAGCAATATCAAAGTATCAACCCAGGAATTAAACCAAGGACAGTACCTGCAACAAAAATAAAAATGAGAAGACATCTAAGCAAGGCATAATCCCAGACTTCCAGCTCACCAAAGGCAAATTCTCAGGAAAACCTCTGATGGTCAACTACCTAGACACCCTGAATTGATAGCACAGGAAGTAACAAGACAGATGAATGAGGCTCTAGAAAAATTCAGAACAAATAATTTCCAGAAAACTACAGAGATGGTGAGCAGAGTGAAAGACATGATTAGAGACTCTAGAACAGAAACAGATAAAAAAAAAATTGATGAGTTCAGGACCATGATGGAAACCATGAATGCCCAACATGGGAAAGAAATGGAATCCATGAAACAGATTCGAACAGATATCCAGGAGATTAAAAACTCTATTGAAAGTGTACAGAGCAGAATGAGCCAATCTGAAGACAGAATATCAGATATAGAAGACAGGATGGTGGTCAGTGACCATGAAAAGAGAAATCTCTTAAAAATAGTAAGGGACCATGAGAAATCAATCCAACAGCTCCTAGATGATGCAAAGAAGAATAATATAAGACTGATAGGAGTCCATGAAAAAGCAAAAATACAAATGACATTTAAAAAAACTATTCACAGAATTAATGACAGAAAACTTCCCAAATACAGCAAAAGAATTTGACATACAGATAAGTGAGGCATATAGGACTCCAACTATCCATGATCAAAAGAAATCTACACCTAGACATATAATAATAAAGATCCTGGAAACCCAACAGAAGAACAAAATACTACAAGCAGAGAAAAGAAAATCACCTGCAAAGAAAACCCATCAGAATCACAGCAGACTTTTCAACACAAACTGTCAAGAGCCTGGAGAGAAGTATTTCCAGCCTTAAAAGAAAACAACCTCCAACCTAGACTGATGTATCCTGCAAAACTACCTTTCAAAATTGATGGGGAAAGAAGACACTTCCATGACAGAACACCTGAGAAATTTCATGACACCAAACCAGCACTCCAATTCTAAACAATATACTAAAAAAAGATAACAAAGGTCACAACTCCTTGATGTCCAACTGAGCAAATTCATCAGGCAAAGCAAGAAATTAAAGGGAGGGAGAAAAAAAAGAACCAACAACAGGAAAATAACATGACAATGATAAGTCAATACATATCAGTTATAACCATCAAGATTAATGGCCTCAATTCACCAATTAAAAGAAATAGACTGGCAGAATGGATTAAGAAGCAAAATCCAACAATATGCTATATGCAAGAAACATAACTTCTTCAAAAAGAAACTCATGGACTGAAAGTAAAAGGATGTAAAACAGTTCTCCATGCAACAGGAACCCAGAAAAAAGCACGGGTGGCTATCTTATTTGAAGACAAAGTAAATTTCAAACCAAAACTAATTAAGAGAGACAAAGAAGGTCACTACATCATTGTAAAGGGAACAATCCAAGACAAAGACATGACAGTCAAATATATATGCACCAAATACTAATGCCCACAACCATACAAAACAAATATTAGGGGACATGAAAAACCAAATAAGCACTAATACAATTGTAGTGGGGGACCTCAATACCCCACTGTCACAGATAGATCACCTAGACAGAAAATCAAGAACAAAATACTGGAACTGAACCAAGCTTTTGAAAAAAATGGACTTAATAGATGTTTACAGTGTTCCACCCCACAAAATCAGAATATACATTCTTTTTGGCTGCACATGGGTCATTCTCCAAAATAGACCACATACTAGCTTATAGAACATGTTTAAGTAAATGCAAAGGAATTGAAGTTATCCCATGTGTATTATCAGACCATAGTGCAGTTAAACTGGAGATCAACAGCGTAAGAAACCACAAGAATTCACAAACACATGGAAATTGAATAACACTCTCCTGAACAACCAGTGGGTCACAGAGGAAATTAAAGAAGAAATTATACAGTTTTTACATATAGATGATAATGCCAATACAACATACAGGAATCTTGGGA